AGGATGGTGAGACTCGTCTCACATACCTTGGACATGTTATCAGGAGAGGCAAGTCCATGGAAAAGGGCACCGTGTTTAACAATGTAGAAGGGCAGCAATGAAGAGGAAGATTCTTAACAAGACGGCAGGACACAGTGGCTGCAACAGTGGGCTCAAACGTCACAATTGTGAAGATGGTGCAAGACCAGGCAATGTTTCATTCTGTTGAACATAGGGTCCCTACGAATCTCCAACTTGAAGGCACCTAACAACAAGATTCTGTGTGGGTGGCTGACAATGGGGAGAGTTAGTAATTCCGTGGGTTATCATACTCAGTGATACCAACCCTAATGATATCACTGAACTGGAAAGAAGAGAAAAATATATGCTTCCTTAATCTCAGATGAGGAAGCACATTTTAGTTATGAAAGCAAAAGTAGAAATGGTGAATATTATTTAGGTGACTATTTTAATAAATATTTTGTCACTTAAATATGCTGTGAGATATCAAACCCCAACTCACACAGTTGAGCCACTCCCAACTACAGTGAACCTACATAGCACAAAGCAGAACTGCCCATACGGTTTCTCAGACTATAGCTCTTTAGAGAAGTCCATGGCCTCATCGCTCTCCTGCCTTCCTGAGGAATGGCTGGTGGCTCTACATGCTGACCTATGAGTTTGCAGCCTAATGCTTAACCCGCTGTGCCACCAGGACTCCCTAACATACTACTGTCACAACTAAAAGGTAAATTGTAAGTGCAGGAAATAGTTTGTAGCAAAAATAGCAAAGGGCTAGCAGCCTTACTAATTGGAGTGTTATAAATGAGGAAAAGGAAAACATGTCATTAGGAGGAAATGGGCAATTCCTTAAATAAAAATAATCAATAAAAGTATTTAGTTTGACTAGCATTTGAAAAAAATGAAACCATTTGTTTTTGAAAATTGAGATAATTTTTACATGAGAAAAGGCAATATTTCTCCTCTAAATTAGGGGATTCTTCCTGGAAGAGAGCACAATTCTATAGTTTTAATCTTGTGCTCAGAAATTTGGTTTCTAGGGGGATTATCTTAAGGCAATAATCAGAAATAAGCAACAGGGATACCAATTCGTGTGTTTAGTCTATTTCACACCAGTTCTTTCTTTTCCTCCTTCCTTCCTCCTTCCCTTTCTCTTTCCTCCTTTTTTTTTTTTTTTTGCAGGGGGAGGTGGGTTGGGAGTGGTAGTGGACAGAGTAGATTTTCTATAATAAGTAGCAATTACATAGATAATGACAATATTGACACTTTATTATACAAATCCCTCTGGTTGACAGTGACCCCTCCATCACTGTGGGTTATGCACTGGGAGCGAACAACCACAGACCCAACCAAACCCACGACCATCGAGTCGATTCCACCTCCTCAGAGCCTTGTGTAGAGTTTCCAAGGCGACATCATTGCGAAGCAGACAGCCTCTTCTTTTTCCCAAAGAGGGGCCTGTGGATTTGAACTGCAACATTGTGGCTAACAACCTGACACCTAATTCACAGAGTTGCCTGTGCTCCTCCTTAACAATGACAAAAAAGGTCTAATTTTGAAGTGACTGTATTTTGTGCTTCTAAAGACACTCTTTTCTAGATTTGACTCCTGCAACGAGTGCCTATAAAAAGATCAGTGATTAAGGGAATGCTTGCGAGGAGGCCCAATGTCCACCTGCTACCCTACTACTGAACCTATAAATATATGCACATAGGTCTATTTCCCCCATAATCATAAATATATTTACATATGTACATGTCTATATTTAGGCTTCTTTGTATGCCCTTTGCCTCCTACTCCTTTCCTCTATTTCCTTACACTTTCCTCCTGTCCCACTATCATGTTCAGCCTTCATTCTGCCCTTGGTCACTCCCTATCAGTCCTCCCATCCCCTCCCTGCCACTGGTTTTGAACCACTCGGTGTTCCCTTGTCCCTGGGTTGGCCAACACCTCCTCCCTTCCCCTACCACCCACACTCTCGTGTCCCTCTAGGACTGTTGGTCCCATTATTTTCTTCTCATATTGTTTGTCCATCCTATCTTATCTGGCTGGACCTGCAGATATAGTAATATGTGCATAAAATTGTGGATGGCTTTGGCAGCACCAAAGAGCACATTGCTCAGCTAAACGGTCATTTTATGATACCCAGCTTCCCTACATGATCGCTGAAAACAGACTTGTGCATAAGCAAATGTGGTGAATAAAGCTGATGGTGCCTGGCTATCAAAAGATATAGCGTCTTGGGTCTGAAAGGCTTGAAGGCAAACAAGTGGCCATCTAGCTTAGAAGCAACAAAGCCCACAGAGAAGAAGCAGACAAGCCTGTGAACATGAGGTGTTGAAGGGATCAGGTAGCAGACACCAAAGAACAAAAACCATCATTGTGTGATCACCTTCCCCACATAAAAGCTGAAGATGAATGTGTGCATAAGTAAGTGTGGTGAAGAAGGCTGATGGTGCCCAGCTATCGAGAGAGACAGTGGCTGGGGTCTTAAAGGCTTGAAAGTAAACAAGCAGCCATCTAGTCCAGAAGCAGCAAAGCCCACATGGAAGCAGGACACCAACATGTGTCATCATGAAGGGCCGAGGGGACCAGGCTTCAAATACCAAAGGCGGGGTGGGGTGGGGTTGGGGGATCATATCCTCGTCAATGAGGGTGGCGCCGTG